AAGTTTTAAAGTAGCAACTCGGAAAAGACCCTCAAATTAACATAAAAGGCTGCATAAATAATGTTAGGAACTCAGTATGGTTTAGAGCAATTGCAAATACGATTTCACAGATGCTTACATTTTTATGTTCACATTTATTTCACAAGGTTAAATGAACTGCTGTTAGCACTAGCAAAATGAAGTTTGTGATGTAAAGTTTCCTGTAAAGGCAGAGAAGCCATAATTTTCCAGGGGAAAAAAATCTCAAAGTCAAATCTTGCATTATGTCCAGTGATGAGTGGTGCTATGATATGCTTATGCTGTTTGGCCTTAATGGAAAAAGAGTTGCACCACAAGAAAAACAGTCTGGCAGAAGAACTTAGAACACAGAATAAAGGGAGATTTCTAAATTTCCATTTGTGTGTTTCTATTTCCAAGCAGGATATCTTGCTGTCTTTCCTGTAATTTAAAAACTGTAATCCCACCTCCAAATGACCTAATTTTATAGTATCTTCAGAAATGAAGTTACTTCCATTCAGATTCTGCTCAGGATATGGAAAAGTACCTGGAGTACATATCTGTATGGTAGAAATTCTACTGAACCTACACGTGAGAAGTACAGGCTTGAAGATTTACTGTGCTCATAATTCAGATCCTTGTTGTGTGTGGTGAACAAAAAGGTTGTAGTTTCTACTTGCCAGATGCTCAGTTGCCATTTTCCGGTAAAGTAACATTGACTAGGGCTTAAGGAAATGATTAATTCTTCATTTACAGTGTTAGAGAGGGGAAAATATGCAAATTCTCTTAAATAACACTTTCTTACCACACACACAGAGTTAATTGAATAAAGACAAGCTAGTGTGCATATAAAGTGCTAGCTATGTATACAGGAGATTTAAAAAGAATCCATTTTTAACCCCATGTATAGCTGGTGAAGCCCACTCTTCTTATATATACTGCGCTGTATATTGTAAAAGGGAAAGATATGTACAAGGAACGACTATGATGTTATCTATTATGTTCTTTAGAGGACAAGCAAAAAATGATTTGGAGGAACTCAAAGCTACCATTTATTTTAATCTGTCTACAATTAATAGTAATATATAATTACCATAAATAAATGGAAGGAAGTACATGACTAGGTGTCCTGGGTTCAGCAGTAGCAGTCATTTTTCTCCTTCTTAGTAGCTGGTGCAGTGCTGTAGTTTTGACTTTCAGCCTGGGAACAGTGCTGATAACACCGATGTTTTTAGTTACTTCTCAAATGTTTAGTCTGACCAAGGACTTTCTGAGTCTTATGCTCAGGATGGGAAGGAGAGAGGAGAGGAAGCCGGGAGGAAGCAGAGACAGGACACCTGACTCAAACTAACTAAAGAGGTATTCCATATCACAGCACATCGTGCCCACTATATAAACTGGGGGCAGTTACCCAGAAGGGTTAGATCATTGCTCGGATTGGGCTGGGTATCAGTTGGTGGGTGGTGAGCAGTTGTATTCTCTTCCCTTGTTATTTTGCTTATCATTATTATTATTGGTGACAGCAGTACTGGTTTTGTGTTATACCTTAGTTACTGGACTGTTCTTATCTCTTATACCTTAGTTACTGGACTGTTCTTATCTCAGGCAGTGGGAGTTGCATTCTTTCGATTCTCTTCTCCATCCCTCCAGTAGCAGGTGTAGGAAGAATGGGGAAGAGTGAGCGAGCAGCTGTGTGGTTCTGAGTTACCGGCTGGGCTTAAAACACGACCCTAGGTGTCAAATCCTAGTCCTCCAGTCCCTAGCTTTATTCACTGCATACTTGCCACTACCTGGCTTCCTGTCATTTTACATTGTTTGGAGTATACTCTGCCTTGACTGACTGTCCCACAGAGGACAGTCTCTCAGCCTTCCTTCATCTGAGAGATGTTGTTGGCCCTTCACTGGACTCCTTCCAGTATCTCCATCTCTGTGTTATACTGGGTAGCCTAGAATTGACACAGGACTACAGGTGCGGCCTCTCCAAGGCTGAGTAGAGAGGCGCAATCACCTTACTCAACCTGTTGGCAGCCCTTCTAATGCAGCCTGGGATATTGCACCCTTTTTTGCTGCAAGGGTGTGTTTTTGCCTTATGTCCAATTTGGTGTCCATCAGGACCTCAAAGTCCTTCTCTGCAAAGTCTTACAGCTATTAACACCTTTTTTATCTACCTACACTTATATGTCATTTATTGAAACATGGCACCTTCAGGCGCTGTAAATCTACATGGAGATGAAATGACACTTTTTTTTTTCTAGGCATGATATACATATACATAAGTAATGTTTTGTGCTTGCTCATGTCATGAGAAATCTGCAAATCATAAAATTTCAGCAGCTGATTGATAGATGGTTTTAGTGAGACCAGAAAAAATACTGCTGCTTTCTAAACAAAACTGTTGACAGCCTTCTTTAGCATCTAATTTTATAACCCATTTCTATGAGAGTTTTTTTGGAAGTAAGTCATTATTGCACGTTCCTGCTTTATGTGGAAACCTAACCTGCCATTAGAACAGTTTTTAAGAGGTGTCTAAGAGTTATGTGTGGGTATGAATTAGTCGTCCCCATTTTGGCCTTTGTACCATCTTTTTTTCCCCATTTTAACACTTGTTTTCATGACACTGATAAATACACAGAGAATTCAGAAAATCTTGGGGAAAAAAATAAAAAGAAAAATGATGTATTTAATAAGTAGTTTGGGTGTATCTGTGATGTAATAATAGAAAACAGTTACATGTGGCCTAGTAATGGGATTTGTTTCAAATGTGTTTTCTCTTTTCTGTCCTTGGCAAATTTCCCAGAAAATGATTTTCTCTTTCCATGTTTGTCTTTCAGTATTATATTTAAACAAACACAAAATATTTTAACAAAATCTGTCTCCTTTATTAATCTTTTATTTACTATCACTTCAGATATTTCCTAATTCTTGGACTTACGCTGCCAATTTTCTTCTCTCTTCATGAAGATATTTTGCAGTTCTTGAACCTGAATTCAGGAGTATGGAGCAGTAACAGTAAACTATCAATAAAGATTTTCTATTTTCTTTCTTTAACAGATGGAGTCTACAGGTCACAAGATGTAGTTAGTTGCATGGAATAACCTTGCCTGTGTAAACCACAAAGGATAAAATATTACTTTCTTTTTTTGACTAGAATATGTAGTTAACCCATCAGTATATACTGATCCTGTCTTGAGTGCCCAACCTACTTTTATGCAGTTATTTTTCTGTTATTTTTCTTTGTTAAAATGGTCTATCTTAACTCAGACAGATACCCTTCAATTTTATTTTCTGACATACAAAGTTTATCTCAGTGGGTTCAGAAAATTCATGTCACAGAAAGAATATGTGTGTCCCAAAAAAGCACAGCAACTCTGTTAGTCAACATGAGCACAAAACAAATCGAGTGCAGTTGGGAAAGTACAAATCGCAAATACATCATGTACAAACGGGCTGGTGATAAATTTGATCAGCTGTAGTAGAATATACATGTAAATAATTTTAATTCAAGTACTGGAATCAGTGGAGCTCTTCCACAATATCTGACACTTCAGCACAATCAAGCTGACCTGGACCTTAAATTATTAACTTCTCTTTCTTTTTTATTTTGTTATCTTCGTTCCAATAAAATACAGCAGAGTTAGAGAATCACGATAGAAAGTTCTGGGACAATTGCCCAATATGCATTTTCTTTAGAGTTCTGATTCTTAACTTATATTTTTAAGCTATATTATGAAATAATTTTGCTGTTTATGTAGAAGTTCATGGCCCATATCTCCTTGAAACACAATGGTCTCTGTTTCCAAAGTGCATATTCGGTAATAAAACAGCTGAAATGCAACAATATGATTTGCAGACTGCAAATACCTGTAGATGCCACAATGCTGATGCATTTCACATTTGATCATCATGCTATGGCAGTTCATTGATGTACTCAGCTTTTAAAAAGAGTAACTTTTTTGCTGTCTATTAATGCCTTCCAGTATACATGGATTTTAATAGGCTTTAAAATCTACCCTGAAGGCTGTTGCAATGTTTAGCCAGCAATGAAATAATTCACATCAGACATGCTTGCTATTTAAAGTGTTTCCTGACTTTTAACAGAAAAAAACTTTGTTAGAAACAAGCATGTCACAAAAGAAGCCTTCTGCTGAATGGAAGTGTTTGCATTGCTGGGCCTCTCTAGTTAGTAATCAGTTCAGCAGATGTTCACCTTTCTCTTTTTTTCTTTTTCTTCTTTTTTCTTTTTTTTTTTTTTTGGTAGAACATAGGCAGCAAAAATATACTTTATGGGTTTTTTTGAGACTATGTGAAACACCCCTTTGCAGTTTTATGCAGTTTAATCAGTCAGAAATTTAACACTCAGCACCTGATCATTAGTGTATGCAATACTATCACCATAGAACTAGAAGATTTGCATTTATGCTATCTGATTTGATATCCTGTATAATATCTAATACACTATGTAGGAGACAGTATTTTTTATGCCATGAGTTGTTTAGTACTGCTTAATTAGGATACTGATGCACAATTTCATATTAAGGGTGTTAAACAAGTTGGATAGTTATATAATCCTGAGAATTTCCATAGCAAATTATTTTATACTGAGTTCTATTTGGACTGCATTCTGAACCTTAACAACTCAGATGGTTAGAAATACCTGTAACTTAGGCATGTCTGTGTAATATCTAAGCAAAATATTTGTATATAAGAGATGGTATCTTATTAGAAAAACCTTGGGGAAGGAAGGCAGAGATAGTAAAGGATTTGCAGGTACACAAATTGGTTATTAAAAAAGGTAGGTAAAAGTAGTGTTATATGCCTACATTATCTTAGTTGTAGGTCAAACTATTGATATATTTATGAAATTTTCAAGTTTTGAAATGGTGAAGTGCCTGTCAGGAGACAAAAATGCACGTCAATCAACACTAATACCTGTTGTATTTATACTAAAATTATATAAAAAAAACCAAAACCCAGATTATTTATTTTACTCTACTACATTACAGAGATACCAATGTGTTTGTACACCTGGATGGGAAGGAACATTCTGTGAAAATGAATCAAATGAATGTAATTCAGATCCTTGTAAAAACAATGGCACCTGCATGGATCTTTTCAACAGCTATCGGTAAGTGTTACATCTTCTCTCTGTATGATTATGTTCCAGGAATGACAGACTTATGTATCCAGTTTTAATTTTATTGCTCAGCTTGGGAATGGAATGTTATTACACAAATGAGCAAACAACTTATGTCATAGATAAACTGCTTTATTTTATGTTTATTTGAAGTCAGCAGACATAATTAATTGTAGATGGAGAAGTAAAAAAAAATGCATCCATTCAAAACACTTAGCAAGTAATCTAACCTGGAGCTTTAATTTGTCAAATAATATATAGGATCTTTTTCTATCATGTATGTCCTGTAAGCACAGGAGATACTTTAAAGGCAGTGGGAGTGGAGGGTTGTACACTTAGGAGATGAGATTGTATCATTGCTGCCACCTTGTGGTTTAAAATATAGAAAAATAGAAATTTGAAATTTACAGGCACACTGAGAGAAAGCATGAGAATTTGACATAGTATTCATAACTTAAACCCCAGTCTTTATTTTATGCATGCATTTATGGTTTAAAAGTAATTCTTTTTTTTTATGCTTACGAAGCTAAGGATTCCATAAACCATCTAGCAATCAGCTTCTGTTATTTGTATCCAGGATTTACCTAGGTTTAGGTGTCAGGACTAGCTAAATCAGTCCTGTATCAGAATGTAAACCAGTAATAGATACCGATATAGCTGCACAAAGAACACAGTGTAATAACTGTACACAGTACAGAGTCTAGTTGTTGTGTCATGATTATATTCCTGGTAATATAGATAATAGTCAGAAAGAAAACCTACCACAGCTGCAGACATGATTCCACAGATAGCCAAACATAAATTCAGCTAAGTTAAATAATGCATATAAAATGTATAGTTTTGCATTATTCTGCATTCAGGCTTTAACTGAAATACTTTGATTCATCCTAGGACTGCATCGGTATCTGTCCTATTTTGGCAAAATATCTTCAGAAATTTTTCAGTCCAATAAGAGAAGATGAAGCCTATTGAGGCTGAGAAAATATTTTAAAACGTTTTAAGTTGATTTTTCCTGGGGGGGGGGGAGAGTTAACTGGGTTGGGACATACTTTTTTTGTTTGTAATTATTTTTGTGAAGTTTGTAGGGTTTTTTGTATTCGACTAACAAAAAATAATTTCATAGTTGTGTACTGTTTATGTGCGATAAACTGGTTGAATTCTTACATGATAAAGTGGATTATATACGCAAATGTACAGCTTCACCACCCTCAAGAACAGTTTCGTGTGCAAGAATATTTTACAAACGTATAATTACCTGCCATTATATTATACCTATTTTTTTTCAGTCTCTGGAGAGTTATATATATTGCAGAAGGTAACACAGCTTCTGCTGTCTTTATTCATACCTAGGCCAACTATGTATGAGCAAATCCAAGGACTTCCTATTGTTTGATGAGGAAAAAAGTTGCTCATAAAGTACTTTTTCTGGCTTTGGAAAATACTGAACTGTTACAGAAAATGTTTACAAGTGAATAGGTTTGAACTGCAAACACCACAAGTCTAAGACTTGGCAACAATATGGAAAATGAGTCTATATTCATAGTTTTGTTGTATAATCTAAAGCAATTTAATTTCAATCATTAGAGTTGTCCTAGTTTGTACTCTCAGATATTAAAAGGCATTCTGCTTTTTTTCACAATTAATGTAAAAAAAGTGTGATTTCCCTTACATTTATTTAACACTTTTCTCTTTATAATGGCAAAAGCAAGTGTTCATCTCATGGTAGCTAAGCGGTGGCACTGACATGTACCTGATCCTGGGGATATCCAGCCATATCTTTAAAATTAAGTCTTTGAAACAGGATAACTGGATTTTAACTGCTTGATAGAAAAAGATCATTTGCATTCTTGAGCTGTGCCTAGGTATTGTGTTGGACAAGCACTAGCTGATAGCAAAATCAGTAATTCAGAATAGTTTCATGCATATACTTCCAGTATCCCTTGAACTTCACTTGAATTCTCACGACAGCATAATCTCTCAAACTATTTCTCTGAACATTTACAGCATCTATTATGCTAAACTCCCTATTTCTTCTCTATCCTATTGTATCATCTCTCCTGATACTTTTGAGTACTTTTGCCCTAATAATATCAAGCCCTAATTAAAGCTCTTTTGTCTCCTTTGCTCTTATCAGCTCATAGGGAAACTTTAAGTGAAAAATCTCTTCAAATCTTCTTGCAAAATAATAGCAACATAGTTTTATAGATGAACCAGTGATTCTAATGGTATAGAATAGTTTTGGATTTGGCTGTAATCATTATGACATTAAAATCTGGAGAATTAACCAAGTGTCTTTCCAAAGTACTCAATTCTTCCTGTGTATTTACATTGAATCCCACAGATTCATGTTGTTTGCCATTTTGTCAGTATTTGTGGAGATGATGTGTTGTTGCTGCTTTTCTTTTTATAACATATCAATGAATTTCTCTATACTAATCAGAAAATTGTACTTTCTGAAGTATATTTTGTTATTCCATCTCTTGATCTTGTAGTCTTTATAACAGGTTTAGTGTTTACTTAAGAAAAGTTATCCTTTGTCAGTGGCTGAATAAGATAATGTTTTGCAATCTCTGTGGAAACTGAAGTCTAGTTCTATTTTTATACCTGTAGTTTATCCTTTTTTCCTCTTTAATGGTTCTTTTCTAGCATTTTCCTTTTTAAAAAAGTAAAAAATAATTAGAGAGTAGTTATTCTTACAGTATCTTGATTCACCAACTGGGAATCATGCTGACTGTGTCTGTCAGTTAATGGTCCTTAGCACCACAGCTCTATCCAAAATCTCGACTCACTGACTTTACTATATACATTCTTTTCATTGTAACTTAGTTAAATATAAGTTTGTTGTAAATTAATATGTAGACAAATGTATCAGGAAATGGATGATCTCTCTGATGGGAATATTTAAAAAGACTGTCAAACTATGCAACTTCCAAACTTCAGAATTACACTACTGGACTGATAATACGCATTAATACTACACATTGCCAGGGGTTAATTCTTAATTGCTGTTCATCATTAGCACATGTATAACACCATTAATCTTTACCATTATTAACTTTAAAAATAACATTATTTCTATTTATATATGTATATTTATCATGTTTATATAATCTTGCAGTGCTGTGGAACTGATGCTGTTTAGTTAGCACTGCTAGCTGTGACTGTTGATGGCTCTTAACTGCTGAGGTCAAGGTAGCGAGTCCAAGAGTTCTTCAGACAGAAGCAGGAACCACAATGGCCTGTCTTCCTTCCCTAACATTCCTCACTGGTCATCAATGTTTTATGCTTCATGCTTCCTCTCTAAAAGAAAACCGTGATCTTATATGCCCTTGAGATGTTACTTTTTGAATAAAAAAAAGGGATCCCCTTCTTGTTTCACTTGCTTACTGTTGCAGAGACAGACGTCTTTCCGGCCTGGGCATTCTTATCGTTTAAATTTTGCTTCTGGCATGTTTTCTTACACCTTGTGCAGCTATATAACAGGTCTCCATTTGCCTTTTCTCAATTACAGGTAATATTTACATATTTAAGCCTAGTTGTGTTACAAAATTCTGTAAGTGGTGTTACAGTATTATGAAACACTCTTTTTTTCTAGTTATGCTATTTTAGCATGCTTACTTCTGGAACAAATATTACGTACAGTTCCTTTAGCCTGCTTCTAAGCATCTGGTTTTCGGGTGCAGTGGTCCTTTTCTTTGGCTACATAAGATACAGATCTGATTTTTGTTTAACATTTTGACTGTTTACACAAGGGTACTCAGTAAAAAATTGTAGCTGGTTTTCTAATCTTTTAATATGACTCTAATTCTAGGAACTAGCTTTTTCTTTTCAGAGGTGACTCTGAAACACCTCTTTCACAATAACTTTTGCAAAGACAAATGAAAAAAGTTGGTAAATGCCAATGTCACCTTTAAATATGAGGCTTAAGTTCCTTAAGCACTTGTGAGAAATTACTGATAATGTGCAAAAATGTTGTCTGTTTAAATGCTCTTTATTTAAATTCTTCGTTGATTATCCTGTCCTGTAAGAGGCCCTGGTTTTCCTATCTCATTTAGACTCTGAATTGTGTTTAGAGTAGGCCATTTGAGTCATTTCAGACTGTGCTAGTCTTCCTTAGCAATGCTCCTTCAATTAGTAAATATGCCCCAATCACCTTTCTTTGTCTTAGATAATAATTTATGCTAGCTGACAATTTGGGTAACTATACTGTCAACCAGAGTTGGACTTATTTTATCTCTTTCCTGTTACTTTCACAGTCAGTTCCCAAATACGCCTTGCCCTGTAACTCCCCTCTTTGCTTCTTAGCATTTGAAACCATGTCTTCTTTTTAGAATAAAAAATAGTTTTCATTAGTATAACTGTCATCTACCTGTGCTGAGCTCTTGAAAAAGGACTAGTCTTATGCCATTACAATGTATTCAGTGTTAGGCATACCATAATCCTTAATTATGGATAGAATCATAGAATCATAGAATACTTAGGGTTGGAAAGGACCTTAAGATCATCAAGTTCCAGGCCTCCTGCCATGGGCAGGGACACCTCACACTAAACCATGACACCCAAGGTTTCATCCAACCTGGCCTTGAACACTGCCAGGGATGGAGCATTCACGGCTTCCCTGGGCAACCCAATCCAGTGCCTCACCACCCTTACAGGAAAGAACTTCTTCCTTATATCCAATCTAAACTTCCCCTAAGTTTAAACCCATTACCCATTGTCCTATCACTACAGCCCCTAATGAAGAGTCCCTCCCCAGCATCCCTATAGGCCCCCTTCAGGTACTGGAAGGCTGCTATGAGGTCTCCAAGCAGCCTGCTCTTCTCCAGGCTGAACAGCCCCAGCTTTCTCAGCCGATCTTCATACGGGAGGTGCTCCAGTCCCCTGATCATCCTCATGGCCCTCCTCTGGACTTGTTCCAACAGATCCATGTCCTTTTGATGTTGAGGACACCAGAACTGCACACAACACTTCAAGTGAGGTCTCATGAGGCA